TTTGCCCGTATTAAATAATTATGTATTCGGGAATAGACTCATTGTTCGATAACGACATGTGAACTTATTCACAAATACTAGCTATCACTTCAGCCAAAATAAGCTAGTTAATAACTTATTTAAGATTGATGTACATTATTTTTTTACTTTTCTGTTGAAAATTAACGTATCCGCTTAAGAAAAGAACTTCGTTACTATACATATTGCTATATCCATATCCAATTTCTCAATGTCCCATTGACACGGTACGCGGTCAGTATATTGCGACAGCTAATTTCCTTGTCTACCTGTCTTGCAATTTGTCATTTACTTGAACATTTAACCAGTGTTTAAAAACAAAATGAATGGCCTCAGACATGCATGACAGGTATATTTCCTATATTCCCTATAAACATGACAGCTCGTCAAACATTTACCTGCTTAGATACAGATAGACAGTGACAGTCCTTTATCGGGATACAAAGGTACAGTTGTCAGGATAAAGGGTGGGGCGAAGCAGTTTTCGCACTCGGTCTAGGCGCCTGTGTCAACTCGCGGTACGTGCAACTTGGGCGGCACTGTCAGGTTAAAGAGAGCAAGCGACTCACAATCAGTGCGTCAAACAGATTCGCCAAGCAGGAGGCGAGTTGATTTTCTCTCACTTGACAGTTGCATGTACTAGAATGTTGTCTAACTTAAAATACATCCCTATTTGGGGAATTTCACCAAATATTCCTTCATGGAAAATGTTTAGATAAAAACAACTGTTTCCTGTCTGTTTCTTCGTTCTCTTCATGGGATGTTATCTAATTACTTATATTTAACATGGACATCGTTTTCGTTAACATAATGTAACTCAAAATTATACAGAATTATTTTCTGATGTTTTAAATGTGAAAAAGCGACATATTTGTCCGACAATTGCAAACTTTCACTGAGTGTTAAACTGAAATTATTTCAATTCATTTCCAGGTCCACATGTCGGAATGTTAGTTCAGGGCAATGTGGGCATTTATAGCTGACAACCAACTCACCATTACTGAAAAATAAAGGCGCGTTTAAACAATGCAGTAGCGTAACAGATGTGTTTTAATTGTACAACACGTGATCCAAATGACAAATTGCTCCAGGGCTTAAAAACACATCAAAGATGCGAGGATGTTTTGTCAATGTCTAAAAGTGGGGATGTTATAATGTTATAAGATATACTCGTAACTTTCAGCTCGTGAAAGAGAATCTGTCTGGAATTCACTGAGCCGTAGCTACTCATGTGCTTCCAAACCCGTGAAGGGGGCACGGGTGGCCCTGTCCTCTGAGGCGCCACGATTCGCTGTGCTGAGTTGCGTCCCTTTGGCACGCCAGAAACCTATGATTGTGGGTTCGAATCCCGGTTCGTCCCAATTATGTTTCTACGTTTGTCAGCACCATACCCGTGCTCGTGGGTTTCACCGAAGTTGTAAACATCAGAGACCTGCATCACTTCGGGCTTTCCTCCCACATTAAGCTGACACGCCGTGATATAACTGGTATATGCTAAAAGCGGGTTAAAACCCAACTCACCCACTCACTCCCATACCCGTGAAGATCCGGGCGAGGATAAGTTTCAGCAACCCATGCATGCTGTAAGGGACGACTATGCTTGTCGTAAGAGGCGACTAACGGGATCGGATGGTCAGGCTCGCTGACTTGGTTGATGGTATCCCAATTACGGAGAACCATGCTCATGATGGCAACCACAGGACTGTCTGATCCCGACTCGAGTATTTACAGACCGCCGTCATACAGGTGGAATATTGCTGAGTGTGGCGTTAAGCCACAAACGAATAAAACAAACAAACATATGTTTCCTTAACCAACATATGAACAACTACAGATTGACTTTAAATATTTAAGACTGTATAATCATTGGAATGTATCATGAGTCGTGTAATGAATCTGGATGTGAGAGACAAGCAGACAGACAGAGACAGAGACAGACACGTGAGTATATGCATATTTACAATGGCTGTTCACGTCGGGGTTCAACCCGACTCGGACACTCGTGCACACGCACTCGCACATACCACAATAACACATCTACATGTCGAAGCGCTTCACACGTATGCTTCTACCTATTACGATTGACAATGTACGAATATGACCTCATCCTCACATTCATGACCAAACTATACACACGTTACACACTTTAGACATACATGGACATACTATACACAATGCATTACAAAAGCTACGCATGTACACAATGTAGGGCAGACGTGTACTTTTACTGCACACGGGTGCTGAAGACATGATTCCACGCACTAGCACGCGTGCACTGCAGATTTATACTACACGCATGCACTGCAGCTATATACTACACGCATGCACTGCAGATACATACTACACGCATGCACTGCAGATATATACCACACGCATGCACTGCAGATACATACTACACGCATGCACTGCAGATATATACTACACGCATGCACTGCAGATATATACCACACGCATGCACTGCAGATATATACTACACGCATGCACTGCTGATATATACTACACGTATGCACTGCAGATATATACTACACGCATGCACTGCAGATATATACTACACGCATGCACTGCAGATATATACTACACGCATGCACTGCAGATATATACTACAAGCATGCACTGCAGATATATACTACACGCATGCACTGCATACATATTCTACACACATACAACACACTATACAAACAAAACATTCACTACACACATACAGTGTGCACTACACACACAAACAATGAACAATACACACATAGCGTACACTACAGAAAATGTACACTACACACATGCAGTGTTCATTACACACAGACAATGGTCACTACACACATACAATGTACACTTCACACATACAATGAACACTACACACAATGAACAGTACACACAGACAATGTACACTACACACATGCAATGTACACTACACACATATAATGAACACTACACACATAGGGTACACTACACCCATAGAGTGTACACTACACACATACAATGTACACTACACACATATAATGAACACTACACACATAGGGTACACTACACCCATAGAGTGTACACAACACACATACAATGTACACTACACACACATACAGTGTACACTACACACATACAATGTACACTTCACACATACAATGAACACTACACACAATGTACAGTACACACAGACAATGTACACTACACACATACAATGTACACTACACACATACAGTTAGTGAGTGAGTTGTGTTTTAACGCCGCTTTTAAAAAATATTAGTTATATCTCGGCGTGTCAGCTTAATGTGGGAGGAAAACCCCAAGTGATGCAGGTCTCTGAGGTTTACAACTTCGGTGAAACCCACGAGCACGGGTATGGTGCTGACAAACGTAGAAACATAATTGGGACGAACCGGGAATCGAACTCACAATCATAGGTTTCTGGCGTGCCAAAGGGACGCAACTCTGAACAGCGAATCGCGGCGCCTCAGAGGACAGGGCCACCCGTGACCCCCGCCCCCTACACACTACACACATATAATGAACACTACACACATAGGGTACACTACACACAAAGTGTACACTACACACACATACTATGTACACTACACACATACTATGTACACTAAACACCCAGTGCACACTACACACATATAATGAACACTACACACATAGGGTACACTACACACACAATGTACACTACACACATACTATGTACACTACACACAAAGTGTCCAACTACACACATACTATGTACACTACACACATACTTTGTACACTAAACACCCAGTGCACACTACACACATATAATGAACACTACACACATAGGGTACACTACACACAAAGTATACACTACACACATAGTGTACACAACACACACATACAGTGTACACTACACACATATAATGAACACTACACACATAGGGTACACTACACACAAAGTATACACTACACACATAGTGTACACAACACACACATACAGTGTACACTACACACATATAATGAACACTACACACATAGGGTACACTACACACAAAGTGTACACTACACACATAGTGTACACTACACACACATACAGTGTACACTACACACATATAATGAACACTACACACATAGGGTACACTACACACAAAGTGTACACTACACACATAGTGTACACTACACACACATACAGTGTACACTACACACATAGGGTACACTACACACACATACAGTGTACACTACACACATACAATGTACACTACACACATAGGGTACACTACACCCATAGAGTGTACACTACACACAAAGTGTACACTACACACATACTATGAACACTAAACACACAGTGCACACTACACACATAGTGTACACTACACACACAGTATACACTACACACATACAGTGTACACTACACAAAAAGTGTACACTACACACATGCTGTGTACGCTACACCCATAGGGTACACTACACACACATATCATGAACACTTCACGCATACGATGTGACGTCATACAGTGTTACAAAATGACGTCATCGTACATGTACGGACAGCCACAATGTACATACACCCCGCGAGTGCTCCGGGTCACAATAGACCACCAGCAACCTTTGATGGTCAACGGCGTTGATCGTTGCTCATGATATCACTGGATTGTGTTCCAGATTCGATTATTTACAGATCGCCGCCCCATTGCAGGAATATTGCTTACTGCAGCTTTAAACAACAAACAGCAACAAACAACAGTGCAGTCTGATGTCATCTTAGCAGTAACAAACGCAAGAAACTGTTATTTACTAAATTCTAATTGACACCCTGTTTTTTTCTGCATTGATAACAGTGATCCATCCGTTCTTTGTTAACTCTACTTCTCGCTAAGATAAGATGGAAAGTGCTTCCCGGTATAGCTGACAATGTTTACATTAGCAAATATACGTGTCATAGGATTGATATAAATTATTGAATCAATAGAGAAATATCATATTTCCAAATACCGATCACTGGCGGTATCTTAGACTGTTGAGATTGATGGCAGTAACCATAGTGTCACGAGAACCTACCGGTGCCCGAGGCTGTCTGTGACGTCACTAGCCAGAACACTAATCTGTTAGTGAAGTGGTGTGCTGGGGGCGCCCGGTCTCTCTCACTCTCTCTACCTGCCCGACGAGCAACAGGTAAATATGGACATCTGTTCTTCTTCCAACTCTTTTAAAGCTGTCATATTAACATTCTCAAAGGTCAACACGAAGTTTTGTTGGTGTGTCACTGAATATGTTCTCAAATTATCGACAATCTATTTATTGTACAAATTTACTTAAGTAAGCCTCATGCTGGGCTCAGCTTTATCGAGCCAGGTGTGACCTGGTTGGAGCATATACATGTATATATACCAAAGAAACTGATAAGACAAGCAGGGCGATTTTAATCAAACTCAGAATGATTTATGTGTTATCTCTCTTTTGCAATTTAATATTAAAATCAAAATTAATGTGTTGATATATTTCATATAGTTTATTTTACTATGATCGCGCCACGTAAACACCTTTTGTATGGTATCGATTAGAGACTCCCTTCTCTAACGCAGAGCTGTTATATGTGGAATACCTCTCCCTGCGTCACACGGGTTTCGACAACATCTGGTACGGCGTTGCAGCGTCCCCAGATGTTCAACACCTCCATGCTTCTCTAAGTAACCGATCAATGTTCGTGTAGTGCTTGTTATCGAGTTTACCTGCGTATTAATTTCCAGGTAAGGTGTGACGGGACCTAGGAGTACACCACGATGTAGGGTCGCCCTTGCACCCCGGGATGGCGAATACAGGTCACAGTCTACCACCTGAGGGTGGTGGCCAATCCTCGCCCCAGAAAGTAGACGATGGGGGTATATTTGTTGACATTGACAGTAAGTCTTTTTGCTTTCATTCATCGTAGTGCGATCAGCAACTTTGTCAGTGTAGATGCTACGGAATACACAGAACCTGGGTAATCTGGAACGAGAACGTGCACATAAACAGCCGGGCAAAAGAAAGTATATTTGTTAAAGTTGCATTTAGTCACAAACATTACACACGCTATGAAAACGTTACAAGGCTGAGAACAGTCGCTGAAACACTGCAAAACACAGGTCCAAAACACAACTATCGCTGAAACACTGCAAAACACAGGTCCAAAACACAACTATCGCTGAAACACTGCAAAACACAGGTCCAAAACACAACTATCGCTGAAACACTGCAAAACACAGGTCCAAAACACAACTATGTTACCCGTATCACCGTCGAATAACCATTCTTGTTTGTTTGATCGCACCCACCATCAAACATGAATGTATACTTTCCTTAACCCGGCAGTATAGTAAACTGACATTACCCCATACCTGTTTTTTTAATCCGTAATAATTTCACATGGCTACATATCGTCCAGATCAACCACGTTTCATTATCTCCACGAGGCAGAATACACATGTCTTGTTTGTAAATGGTAGTAATTTAAACTGATACATTGTACATCTAAAATCTGTTCATATACTACTAGTACAGCATGTAGTGAATATCTCAGGATATAGTCACGTGATATTTGATATAGGTGTTAGACGGAGATTTATCCAGGATTCTAAACTGAGTGCCCTTGGCAGGCGAATTGGGGAAACAAAATCTAACAGAGTTTGGATTTTTAATGTTCATTGTTTCTTAAATTCAAACTTAGGCCTATTTTAATATTCTGTTTTGAGATTATATTCAATGCAATAATATATATCTCAGCACTACAACCTCATCCTATTTATTCGTCCTGTTATCAGTGAAATACAGCTTATTTCTACAAAGCTATAAAATTAGCCGTAGTCATTTTTATTAACATAAATTGAAACCTTTAACTCAATTGGGGGAATTTTTGTTATGACATTTGCTGCAGACTGTGGCCGACTAGCGGCCTCTAAACAAGTCTAGATAAATCCCTGGGCATTAAATGCTATTATTCTATGATGGATACAGTGTGATATATTTATACTGCAGCGACAAACATGTCGCTATATAAAATCTCCTGTGATATATACGTATTATTCATGTTCACGGCAATGGTAGACACAGTGATGAAAGTATGCCATGTCTAGGACATGTTTTGGGTGATGTATGCACGATTCCAGCACTATGATTCAATGAATGTTTTTACTAGAGGACTCAGTGATAATGAATCGCCAGCTTCCCGCTAGGTTGTGTTACTCGTCGCCGGGTCCCACCCACAGCGCGAGCATGCTGAGTCGCTGTAGACACTGTGACTCGGTACAATTATATCAAACAAATACTTGTATTTCTTTTAATTCAAAACAATAGATACCATACGTTTTAACAAAGAAGACATGCCATATGTAAGTAACCAGATACTATGTAAGTTGCCTTGACTTAATAATATAAGAGAGTTAAACGTTGTGGAGACTAGGTGTAGAATATGTTAGGATAACGTTACGCTTCTCTCTTACATCGCCGTCGTTTATCAATTTCCATGGCAAGCTACATATATATCAGAGAAGCTAAATCTTTTGACAATCTGTGTTGACAAAAATTATGTGATAATATGTTTCAATATTATTGATAATTGATAGCAATCGTGGATATTTTCATTGTAATTGCATGACGTTGTGATTCGCGGACTCCATGTTCGTGTGTTGTGTTCCGGTCATGTTCCTGTACAGTCAAACACCGTTGTGTCGAACTTTGATGTGTCGAACTTATGGTTGTCTAAAAGTAAAAGCGTGGTTCCTGCGTATTCCTTTTTTATTTATCATTTCGGTTGTGTCAAACCTCGGATAACTCCAAGTATTTACGTAGGTCCTTTCAACTTCGACACAATGGTGCTTGACTGTATATAGATTTGTAGGATTGTTCCCATTGTATATATCGTTCCGAAACGTTAGATGGAAGATATCAAAAATCACAGTTATAATCTTACTCTAGTCTCCCATATAACTACTCCGCCAGCGGATTAGTATAATTTCCGGACAGCCAGCGGCGCTGATCTAGAGGCCAGGTTACAGTGACATAACAGTAAACAGTTGATTACATATTACATAGCGGTTAATAACTCCAGGCAGGTTCATTCTGCTTCATCGTATTCACTTACCTGAGACATGGGAGGCCGAGGATGATGGGTGTTTCCTCATCCTAATTTATAGCAACCAGTTGTGTGAAACAATTACACACATCAACGCATTAGTAATCGCTGTTTTGAAACCATATTACATTATTTTTATCTAAATGTTTGGAAATTATTTTGTTTTCATTTATCGGATTTTTTATATTATTCAAATCATTCATACTCACGAGATTCACTCACTCACTCACGATGTTGACATGTTAACTCGTGGCTAAGACCCTCATAAAAAATATCAACTTTTTCATGTCACGAGATGCGATCAATGTCTGTGACAAGAAATGTTATTTGTCATATTAATATAGTATTTCATCACTTAATACATAATAAAAGCACATCTTGCTACAAGCTGACGCTGTAAAGAAGCCGTTAAACCCATAGATATATATCATGATAGTCATTGCCATGAATCATGAAAATTCGTATTACATTATGTCAACCTATACACTGGGTGCATCCGTGCTATGACTACGTGCTCACACGATTATTTTCGTTGGTTCAGAGGTCAAGGTGTCCTGCTTCTGACCCATAGAGCCGACCCTCGAATCCTTAACTCCTTTATTATTGGTTCATTCTGCAAATCCAACAGTCAGTGAGTGAGTATCGGTTTACGCAGCTTTTAACAATTTTCAAGCAAAAGCGAGTGATACCAGAAATGGGTTTCACACATTTTACCCATGTTAGGAATCGAACTCAGACCTTCAGCGTGACGAACGAGCGCTTTAACCACTCGGAAACTCTTTTCCTTTTACACTGGTCAGCTATTGTGTCCTTTGACGTCATTGTGACGTTTATCATGATTTAATTCACGATTTCATCTGGAATTACTGCATTAACCGACCCGTGAAGATCCGCGTTAGAATAGGTCTTCAGCAATCCAAGCTTCGTAAGAGGAGACTAGCGGGATCGTGTGCTCAGGTTCGCTGACTTGGTTGATGCATGTTATCGTATCCCACTTGCGTAGATCGGTGCTCATGATGCCATCACTGCATTTTCTGGTCTAGACTCGATTATTTACACAGCTCCGTCACATAGCTGGAATATATGCGGCGTTAAACAACAAACAAACTGTAGTAACCTTTTGGTTGTATAGTATAATGATTTGGTCATTTTTGGCGTACACGCATGTTAAAGACTCTCCTTTACCAAATGTTCCTTTATTTCTTTCAGTGAGTATATTTGAACTGCAGGTGGACCCACCTATAATGACGTCTACATTGTTAGTTCGTGAGACTTAATATTTCTTCCTCTTTCGCTAGGTACACCAGGCATATTGTATATATTAATCATATTCATAAATATTCATAACTACCATTTTAACGTTTAATGTATAAATTTACAATGTGTAAATGGCAAACTGCATTTATTTAATTATAGTCAGGTATACTGTACATTGTGAAAATAGTCAATTACATTTTCATAAAAATGTTTGGTATAATAGAAAAAACTTTAATCGAATCGAAGGTGGCAGATAGATCAGACACTTAGAAAATGCCTTTGACTTTTAAAAAAATTTCTTCACCTTTTCGTAATGGAAGCAATAACCGTTTTTGAAATGTTATTCAGCTATATTATAAATCACGTTTAACAGAGCAATATGTAATTTGATATTATTTCAAGTATAATTTAATGAAAATTGTAATTAAAATACTTCAAAACATTACAAAACCAGACATAACCAGATGTTCCAGACTAGATTTTTTATATTCTAAATATGTAATTGTCTATTTAATCGTCTACCTCTTATCTTTGATTTATACCTTAATCAAACATGTCGCGGTAATGCATACATATCTAGATTTAACTAAAACGGGCGGTTACTAACTGCAAATGAATCATGCTGTCAATTCAAATAGACGTTCAGGATCGTCGTGCCCTAAACCTCGGCACATTTATAGCGGTATGACATCACGTTAAAGCCTTAGGCATTACGTCTCCACGTTTATTTTAAGAAAATATGGCTTTAGATTTCTCACATTGTCCCGATGAAAACGAACAGAGACCCGAAAACACATATAACGTAGATGTGTCGCCACCCCAGGCTAGGTATCTCTCGGTGACAGTTAATGGTCACGTGACGTAAGATTAGGCCCCTGTAGCCTAGCTATGGGTGGGTACGTTTATTAGCGGTAAACAGGTGATAAAATATATGTGTGTTTGACTACTTTAATGTATACGAGGGCAAACATTACCACTTGTATCTAGCCGAAGGTATGACCATGCACTGAACGTGTTTGATGGGGGGACTGGTTGTATGTTAAATAGACATGTGTTATATTCATCAACTTGCCACGTGTCAACTTCGAATCAAGCTGCATACTTTATATTCATAAGTTTAAGTAAGCTGAAGTAAATGCCGTTTAGATAATGTTATTTATATTGCATGTTCCTACTATTTAAGTGATCAGCCTATTTCGCGAACACGTCGAGTTATCCGAAATTTGAGACAACGAAGTGGTGATATAAGAGCTTAGTTCATGTGGTGGCTCTGCCCATATTGTAACAGTCGTAAACGATATATCGAGTTAAAGGGGTTCGAGTTAACGGTATTTTAATGTAGGTCTATTGGGGATGTGAAATAGATTCCGTGTGTATCTATCGTTGTACTGAATTAGTAAGTAATGATAAGTAAAGCATCCGGGACTGAAATATATCGTTACAAGTATTCTACTTTAGTGCTTACAACCATGTTCTACTGTAGTTCTTTACAACCGTGTTCTACTGTAGTTCTTTTCAACCGTGTTCTACTGTAGT